CCGGGAAGATCCCACGTGCCGCCGAGCGGCTGGACCCGTGAGCCGTGACCGCTGAGCCAGTGCATCTGGAGCCTGTGCTCCGCAGCGGGAGAGGCCACAACAGTGAGAGGCCCACGTACAGCAAAAAAAAAAAAAAAAAAAGTCATAGAAAAATCATCAACAGAGGAAGAACAGGACACTAGACAGAATAAACTCAAACTTTTCTAATACCTATTTCTCTCCCACCTCCATTCTGCATTTCAGGGATGAGTACTGACACTCCTGTTTTAAGTGTTAAAGAACACAGTCCCTCTGAATCGCACCTCTTCCTACCGTACTCTGTACAACAGTCCTAATTCTCACTATGAGCTGATGTTTTCAGTTCTTGTCCTCAAAAGGGAATTCCCTGAAACATGCTAATCCCCTCACTTCCCACACACAAGAGTCTGCATCTACTTATCAAAATCTGCTAAGAAGACTTGCTACTTTTTGTAGAGATCAATTTTTTTCCTATTCTACTTTGGAGCACTCCCCCTCCAGCTCCAGGTTTCCCCAACACCATCTAATTGTCATCTGGCAATAAGAAATCACTGCCAGTAATCAGGACCATCACCTTGCACGGGAGGTCCCAATGGTAAATCTTGTCAAAGCTTCAAAGTATTAATGCTGCTTCTTGCTCTAGCTAAGCAGCTACCTGCCACCTCCTGCTTCCTAAGCCCCCAAAGTAGCATGCCTTACCTTTGGTGTCCTGCATGACAATCGAGCTATACTTTAAGAAGGTTATCAGTAGATTACTGGTCTGTACATCTGCATCCAGTGGGAGTTCCACAGAACTTATAACTGGAATAAAACAGATGAAATGCATTTAGCCTGTAACATATTCCATCTAACACTTCTACCTATACAGACAGCCAACTTGCCAGCAGGCAAGGAAATCACGAAATAATCTTTTTACACAACAGAGGAAAGACCAAGTGCTTATCATAAAACCTTTATCTAGTCTTCCTAGGCCTCTACAGCCCTTCCTACCCCCAAGATTAAGCCCAATGCCCTTCTCTCCTACCTAAGAATGTCAGTCTCCAGAACAGTGCTTTTCTCCCAACATCCTAAGAAGGGTATTTTTTTTTTTTTTTGTTTTTGCAGTACGTGGGCCTCTCACTGTTGTGGCCTCTCCCGTTGCGGAGCACAGGCTCCGGACGCGCAGGCTCAGCGGCCATGGCTCACGGGCTCACGGGCCCAGCCGCTCCGCGGCATGTGGGATCTTCCCAGATCAGGACACAAACCCGTGTCCCCTGCATCGACAGGCAGACTCTTAACCACTGTGCCACCAGGAAAGCCCTAAGAAGGGTATTTTGATTCCACTTTCTAGCCCCAAGTAATCCAAAAGGGTTCAAGGCCCTTCTTAAAAGCAATTTAATTTGTACCTAAGTGAAAGAGCTGTACTGAATATAAATGAGCCTTGCTTTGATGAGTCTACCGCTTAAAATAAATGACAATTCATTCCTAATATGGAGAAATGTTGCTCAATTTTGAGAATAAGGTTTGAGGCTGGAAATACCCAAGATGGAAAGGAAAAAAAGTTAAGGCAGAACTACATTCAAATACTTTTTTTTTTTTTTTTGCAGTACGTGGGCCTCTCACTGTTGTGGCCTCTCCCATTGCGAAGCACAGGCTCCAGATGCGCAGGCTCAGCGGCCATGGCTCACGGACCCAGCCGCTTCGCGGCATGTGGAATATTCCCGGACGGGGGCACGAACCCATGTCCCCTGCATTGGCAGGCGGACTCTCAACCACTGAGCCACCAGGGAAGCCCTCAAATACTATTTTTTAATCCCTTCCCCACCTGAAAGGGAACCTGAGAAGGAATACCAGACTAAAGATAGGTGGACATTACTGATTGGGACAGAGTTTTATATAACTAGCTGCTTGATGTTTCCAAGAGAAACTACCCCTGCTCACATTCTCTGTGTCACAGTCCCAATGAACAGTAAGGGACCAGACTAGGGCTGACAAAGGACAGCCCTAATATAGATTTCCCAAGTTTCTAATACTTTACACGAGACTCAGACATCTTGTTAAGTACTTTTACACTGTCTAAGACATAATATATAAGCAAAAGGAAGCTCATGATAGCCCAGACAAACTGTTATATTTTCACCTGCAAAGACTCAGCTGAGTTTGGGATATTATTCATAATATGTATTCATAACCATAATGAATCCCTCTGGAGTTATTACGATGTATGCAGAGAACATTTATTAACAATGGGAAACATTTGCATATTATGGATCCAAAATACATAGCAAGCACAGCAAAAAACCTTATGAGAGGAAATTAACATGCCTAACCCTTGGCTGTTTTCCCACAGTTCAGCCCCCAAGAACTAATAAAAGACAAATATATTTTTATGTTGAAATACTAAAAGGTCTTAATTCATGTTATGGGTTAATGACCTGAGACTGTCATTTCAATCTACAGCCTATTCTGAAGCTCAGAGCCCGTAATCATTCCTTTGTTCAATACAAAGAGGCACCTAACTGGTTAGTGGGACTTTTTTCCCCACTCAAACACAGTAATAACTAAAAAACTGCCTTATATAATATGTAGAAATATAGAAGTATATGTATTTTTAGTTTACCGGAAAGTCCTCTCATGCCAAGGCTGAGCTGTCAAATGTCAAGTCTGAACTGGAAACAAATGTTACAGCTAAACTGCTGGCTTTTAAAAAATAATGGCTCCAAAAAAAAAAAAAAAAGGCTCCAGTGACATACCTTTAAATATAACTAGGCTACTGAGCACCAGTTATATTAAAAACCAATGAAAAACCAAAACTTGAAAACAGGATTATAATACTTAGACTCGAACAGAAAGGAAATGAGTTAGGAGAGAAGAAAAAGAACAAAATAGAAGAGAGAGAATAAAATCCCTCACAAATTAAAATCTCCTTCCTAAGGGAGAGTTTATTCCTTGATCTTTGGCTTCATAATTCTTCCCAGCAGCCTTTGTCAAGGGAGACAGTCACTTGAAAGTGGGCTGACTCCAATCTTCCCACTAGAAAAAATAAAAGCTCACTGGTTGTAGGTAAGTAAGCACAAATCCTGCCATTGCATAATCAAGTGTGTGGGTGGAAGTGTTCCCAATGAACAGTTTGAAAGGCAGTTCTCTGAAGCATCCAAACCCCAACATTGCATGGAACTCAGATACACACACACACACACACACACACACATACACGCACGCACGCACGCACCTACATACACGCCTTTTGATATCCATGGTAACCAGGCAGGCTTCATCGTTGAAGAGAAAGATCAGTATTTCCGTTGGAATACTTGGTGACCTGAATAAGCACAGACAAGTAGGCAATCCTGCTACATGTTCCTTCTCATTAAGATACAGGTGTGCCCCGCTTTTCGAAAGCTCATTTTTACATAAGCCACTTCGCCTTTACGAAAAACCTACATTAGTATCTGTTTTCGCTAATGGAAAGAATCCAAAGAGAATTTCCACTTTTAAGAAAAAAGGCGGGACTTCCCTGGCGGCACAGTAGTTAAGAATCTGCCTGCCAATGCAGGGGACATGGGTTCAAGCCCTGGTCCGGAAAGATCCCACATGCCGCGGAGCAACTAAGCCCACGAGCCACACCTACTGAAGCCCACGCGCCTAGAACCCGTGCTCCACAACAAGAGAAGCCACCGCAATGAGAAGCCTGCACACCGCAACGAAGAGTAGCCCCCACTCACCGCAACTAGAGAAAGCCCGTGGGCAGCAGCGAAGACCCAACGCAGCCATAAATAAATAAATAAATTTATTTATTTAAAAAAAGAAACAAAGAAAAAAGGCGAAGTGGGGAGGGGCAGAATAGGGTTAGGGAATTAAGAGGTACATACTACTATAGAAACTAAATAAGCTACAAGGATATATCACAGGGATTACAGCCTACATTTTATAATAACTATAAATAGAGTATAATCTTTAAAAATTGTGAACCACTATTTGTATACCTGAAACTTACGTAATATTGTAAATCAACTATACTACAATTTTTTAGTTAATTAATTAATTTTTTTAAAAAAACAGACAAGTGAGGGAATGCCCTGGCAGTCCAGCAGTGAGGACTCTGAGCTTTCACTGCAGAAGGCCCAGGTTCAATCTCTGGTCGGGGAACTGAGATACCACAAGCCGCATGGCCAAAAAAAAAAGAAAAAACAGACAAGTGATAACAAGTATTGGTGAGGATGTGGAAAAAAACGAACCCTTGTGCACTGTTGATCGGTGTAACCACTAAGGACAACTGTATGAAGGTTCCTCAAAAAATTAAAAACAGAACCACCATATGATCCAGCAATCCCACTTCTAGGTATATATACAAAAGAAATGAAAACAGGATATCAAAGAGATATTTTCACTCCCGTGTTCATTACAGCATTATTCACAGTAGCCAAGATATGGAAACAGCTTAAGTGTTCATCTACAGATAAATGGATAAAGAAGATATCATATACATATATATATATATATATATATATATATATATATATATATATAGAAGAAGGAAATTCTGCCATTTGCAGCAACATGGATGGACTGGAGAATATTATTCTTAGTGAAATAAGTCAGAAAGAGAAAGACAAATACTGTACTGCATCACTTACATGTGGAATCTAAAAAAAATTGTCAAACTTATAGAAGCAGAGAGTAGAATAGTGGTTGCTAGGGGCTAGGGGTGGGGAAATATAAAAAGGTTGGTAAAAGGGTACAAAATTTCAGTTGTAAGATTAATAAAATCTGAAGATCTAATGTAAAATATGGGGACTATGTTGATAACACCATGTTGTATTTGAAATCTGCTAAGAGAGTAGAACGTAAATGTTCTCACCTCCTCCAAAAAATAAAAAGATAAATATGTGAGGTAATGAATGTGTTAATTAAATAGATGGGGGGAATTCTCTCACAATGTATATGCATATCAAATCACCTCAATAAAACTGAAAAAAAATTTAAAGAAAGTATACACGTTCCATTTTTTTTTTCCTCACATTTAGACAATGAAAAGTAGAAAAAAAAAATCCTACCACCTACTAACAACTAGAAATGAATGTAACAAGAGACAAGAGTTGGGGGCGGGGGGGAGAAAGAAAGAAAAAAGGCAAAAAATGAAAATCGTGTTCAGCGTTTGTTTTAGAGCAAGTTGTAACAGAGGCAGCGAGCATCCCAGGCAGTTGAGAGTGGCACCACCAAATTCCTTCCCCAGGAGCTACACGCAGCATCTAAGTATCAAGCCGCCACAGCTTTAAACTGTGAGCACCTGTGCTTTTTCTAGATTTCCTTTGTAAACCTGTTAGCAAGATGTGTCCTCAGGTAACTGCTTCTTTGCTTTACGCCTTTTCGGCTTACAGAAGGTTGCATATGAGAGCTCTACTTTCAGACAGCAGGGGAAACATGTATTTTGGAATTTGACTTTCAATTCTAAACAGATCCAATTTGCTGCCATAGACTTGAATATCAGTGGCACCTCCCAGTCATGCTTTTATACCAATAATGCTTGTACTATCTTGAAATGCTAATGCCACAGGTGTTATATGAAACTTTGAAGGAGAAAAAGCAGATCAAAGACGGTCATGTCATACAGACAGGAGGGAGGGACAAAGAAAGGATCAAAGTTAGATTTCCTGTACTTCTTTACCCAAAATGAGGTCAACATTTGAGGCAAAACATCAAATATTAATGAAGATTATTTTTAGGTTAAGTTATTCCATCAAACACACCCAGCTGACAATAGAACCAATTCAGGCTGACACAAAGTTTATCAGGCAAAATTCATTATTTCTTTTCTGTTACCCTTTTCTTAAGTGCCAGTGGTAAGTGGAGATTTTTTTGTTATTTTTTTAGGGAGGGAAGTCTTAAACACCCAGCAAACTCCCAATTATTATGCACTTGTCATTTTTTAACTGGGTGTACCTGGCAGACACATAACAGTGAGCAAATCCCAGGTCCACTTTCTCATCCATTTATTCAACAAATATTTACTAAGCAGTGACCATGCCGGCACTATGCTGGGCAATTAGTGGTAAACAAAACAGGCATGGTCCCAGCCCTGATCCATGTTGTGGTTTTTAGTCTCAACTCTCACTAACCTTAGGCAAACCTCAAATGATAACAAGAGATGATATTACTATTTTACATTTATTTTAGTGAGATATTCATAAAACATCTCATCTGAGCCTCACAAGTACCCTGACAGTTTGGCAGGACAGACATCACTGACCTCTGAGGTCCCTTTTAAATCTAGCATTCCATGATTCTACAACCATACCCTGAGGAGGACAAGCTGGAGTTATATAGCTTCTTTACAGAAAAAAGCAATTGACTCTCTTTTCCAGACTTTTCTTTGGAGCTTCATGAATCCTAAAGGACCGTTCTTCAGATAATTTCTTAAGCAAAAGAATTAACAATTGTGCTTTTTGTTAAAAAAAAAACAAAAAACAAAAAAAAACCAAAAGAACTATGCTCACCCCTAAAGTTTCAAGATCATATTCGTCAAGAAAACAAAGGAGATGGTGGACTTACCATCAGAGGAGGGCGGCGTGGTCCCCAGCGGTGTGGCTGGGGTTGCTGGAGCAGGGCTGACGGGGGTTGTCACCAAGCCCATTTCTGGATGACTCTGAACGAGAGCACAGATAAGGGTAAGAAAGAGAAAATCCCGTTCTGGGTATCCTCTGCTTATCCTTTCTGGTATTCCTGGCCTCATAATTAGACAGAAAGCTCACTGAGGAGGGACTGCTTCTACATTTAGTTCCTATGAGTACCTGATTACTGTTGATGCTTGCTAAACTCTAATGAGAAGCTCTGCAGGCTAATTTTCTTTAAGCAACTAAGTTCCCATTACATAAGTTTTTCTGCAGAACCATATGAATAAAAAAACTGGGATAGGGGCTTCCCTGGTGGCACAGTGGTTGAGAGTCCGCCTGCTGATGCAAGGGATGCGGGTTGGTGCTCCGGTCTGGAGCCTGTGCTCTGCAACGGGAGAGGCCGCAACAGTGAGAGGCCCATGTAAAAAACAAAACAAAACAAACAAACAAACAAAAAAACACAGAATTATTCCACACACACACAAAAGGGCACTTGCTGTCCTATTTGAACCTATCTGAGAAGGGACTATTCTTATCAGATCAACCTAAAACATATCTACAGACTGTTCTAATGACCACATAGTTGACTAATAAATGCAGGTGAGCCAAGGAGATAACAGGTACTATAAAAAGAGCTATGCAGAGGGCAGCCTTCCCATTTCACAGCAAACAAGAGCGTGTGGGGCTGGGAGGCAGAGACGTGGGCGAGACACCCACTGGGGACCAAAACAGATAACTCCTCTTTCCCTTACCTTCCTTAGCCATCCCTGCCACATCAGCTCTTGAAAATTGGGCTGAGTGGTGGCTACTCCCTTCTCTTCCCCAACAACTTTACCAGATTTTACCCATCTCACTTCTTCCTTTAAAATCAGTTACAGGAGACGCAAGAGGGAAGACATATGGGAACATATGTATATGTATAACTGATTCACTTTGTTATAAAGCAGAAACTAACACACCATTGTAAAGCAATTATACCCCAATAAAGATGTTTAAAAAAAAAAAAAATCAGTTACAGAATTCAAAGAGCAGACAAGGAACACCCTGAGAATAGTGGGTAAAGTCTCATGTTATCAGTCATGAAAAATGATAAGTCCCTCTTAGCCAGACCCTCAAACCAGCACACTGCTTTTTGACCTTATTTTTTTTGTTATATGAAACTCAGTGGATCCCATACACATCTGCCCTTTGAGAAAAAAGCATAAGCAAACTTTCCTGTAAAAGAAACCTTCATACATATTTTAAACAGTCTGGCTTTAAAATAAAAATACTTTATCAATTTTTTAAGACAGCTTTCATGAGCATCACTCAAGTTTTCAACCTATTTAAGTTCCCTTCTGTACCAACTACCGAGGCTATCCCTTAGGCAAGTGATCCAGCACTCAGGATTCTATGACTTTCTGCTTTCAATATTTGTAAACTTTTTTTCTTTTTTTTGGTTAACAGCTAACCTTACGCTGCACAAGATATTTTGTACTCTTCTTCTTTGGACATGGGTAAGATAATAAGGTAAGTGACGTGGCCTATTTTATCTCTGGTTGTAATTCCACAGAGGTTTAGAAAGCAGAAAGCCTGTTATAAAAATCCATATGGGCAGATAATACCAAGGGATTTCCGGTGAGCAAAATGAAGTAATCTCATCTCATTTGTTTAGCTGAATCAGTAAACTGGTCAAGACCATTAACTTTGCATGTTATCAGATCCATTTCAGCACCAGATGGAAAGATACATATTTGAGGAGAGCATGAAGCAAAGGCAACTGAGGCAACCCTTTATAACTACCACTCACCAATGCAAAGTAGGGTTTACACGACACAGCCGCGTATGAAATTCAGGGAGAAAAAGAATTGAAGTTTTTAACATAACCAACCTGGGCTAACACTGTGATAAAGTTCCGATTTAAATGAACAGCTTCGTAAAGTGCCAGAAGGATGGCCTCGTTGGTTCTAAAGAAAAAGAGAACAAATTGGAGAGTCTCTTATAATGAAGAAGTTAAAAGAGTATAACGCTCAAGATAAGATTTCACTCCAGCTCCTCACTATAAATCCCTCTGAGTTTCTAATGCTGCCTTTATTTCCTTTTGGGGCTTATGTAAAGGGTATACAGTCAGAGCTTTAACTTTAATTCCTTAGAACTAGTTCTTATCTACTTCATTCACTATTTCCCCCTCTTGCTCTTCCACCCCAATCCAGTTAAGTCTTTAACTGGCTCAGACACCAAGCCCTCTTTCATTTCATTCCAGAGACAGCTGGGAACCGTTTTTCAGCTTCTTGGGGCTCAATACATGTGACTGAAGCAGAGTTTTCTAAGGTTCCATTATTGTTTAAAACTCAAGAAACAGTTGATAAATCACCAAAAAAGCTTGAATCTATAAAAGATTAGCAGAGGTAACGTTTCACGCTTTCATATCCAGTGAGAGCCCACACTAATGTTCAAGTTACCACACAAGAACGTCAGCCACTTACTGCACTGAGATTTTCTCATGGGCATCTGCTATGAACATGCTGCCCACCTGTGGAAGAAAAGGGAAATTGCAGAGTTATAGCAGGGAAACGTGAGAGGTGCTCTGTGCCTACAAAGCCTTTAATCAGTCAAAAAACAAGCTGCTTGGAACCCTGGCCCACCAGTCACACACAACAAAACCAGCTCACTTTGAAGATCTTAAAATAATCATAAGTAATAAATGAAACAATGAGAGCTCCCCTAACTTGTCTTTACTTAAAGGGACTTTAAAAAGCAAAAAAACAATCCCAGTACTTTTGTCCAGCTCTCCTTTTTAATGCATAAGTTAATGCATAACCACTGACAACAAGTAAACGGCAACCTAAACATCCTCATCACTTTGCATCTGCCCTTGAATTTGCTTATTTGAAGTCAGGAACTAACTCACAAAGAACAAGGAAAGCAGGCTGTTCATCCAACACAGAGCCATCTTTGGGGGAATATCCGGGTTTCAGACCAGAACTGTCTAAATGAAACCTACTGTCCATCTTTTACATCATAAAACCTTTTGTCTGTGTCCTAGCTAGGGCAGTTGAATAAGTAAATGGAGTAGACTGCCTCCAATATGTGTGATATCAGAGGCACTGAGATAGATGCCCATCCATCTAAGAATACCTTTTCCACCTACTTATTGATGCCCAAAACCATGCAGCAGGAGCTTCATTTATTTGGTAGAAAACCTTTTCTTCTTGGCTAGAAGGCAAAGGTCCCTGGTAGCAATATAATTATATCTAATTCATCTAATCAAACACCAATACAGCACTCACACTGCTCTGACATCTGAGGGATTATCCATTTGTGCTTCAGAGTTAAAGAGTTTATCAAGTCCTTTCCTTGACAGTAGGCTCTGAGAATGAAGAAGGCATAGATATTGTGGGGGAAAAGTTGCCTTTTGGGGGACAAGATGGGGGGACTGCTGTTTCTTGCAATGAACTCAAAATCTGTCTTGCTCTAGGGCTGATTACTTGAATACTAATGCCCAAGAAGACAGACTTTCTGAATCTAAGTTCCAAGACTCCTAGATTTATATCTTAAAAATCAGTCCCAGATTATCTGGCCTAAAATGCCTATCGTGCTAAGGTTGAGATACCTTGCTCAGGAGTCTTGCAAACTGAACCAATAACTTTCCTAAACTATGGACCTCTCAGCCCAGACCTTAAGCCTTTAGATGAGTGGCTCAGATCACTGCACCAATCCCTCGAATCCAGGACCAACTACAAGAGATGAAGGGGCCACTGCAGACAGCCAAGGATCACTCAGGGTTGGACTTGGATCTAAATCCTCCTATTGTGTGTTCCATAGCATTAGTCCTCAAACAGAGCCAACTCTTTAGGAAGCAAAAGTCTGGCTTAATATGAACGCTTTTTTTGTTTTTGTTGTCTTTAAAAAATTGAATTGATTAATTGGAAAAAAAAAAAATTCTAACCCTGGTGGTCCAGTGATTAAGACTCCATGCTCCCAATGCAGGGGGCCCGGGTTCAATCCCTGGTCAGGAAACTAGAGCCTGAATGCCACAACTAAGACCCAGGGCAGCCAAATAAATAAATATTAGGGAAAAAAATAAAAATAAACTTCTGGGGCTTCCCTGGTGGCGCAGTGGTTGAGAGTCCGCCTGCCGATGCAGGGGACACGGGCTCGTGCCCCGGTCCGGGAAGATCCCACATGCTGCGGAGCGGCTGGCCCGTGAGCCATGGCCGCTAAGCCTGCGCATCCGGAGCCTGTGCTCCACAACAGGAGAGGCCACAACAGTGAGAGGCCCGCGTGCCGCAAAAAATAAGATAAAATAAACTTCTGAGTCTAAATTTGTCTACCCCTGCAGATCTCATATATTTCTGAGCAGGAGAGAAAAAACAAGTAGGACTTACCATATTTGTTAAAGCAGAGAAAAAACCGCCTTGGTGTTCTTCTTCCTTGTCTTTATACTGCCTGAACAAAAATAACTAAATTCAACTTTAGTATTATTTATCACGTGTCTTTGTCCTTGGCATACCAAGTGGTAATCAGAGCAGCTCACTCGCAGAATTCACTGACTCCAAAAAACAAAAGCGTTATGACAACCCAGCCACTGCAGTTTCCCCTGCAAGCTAAGAGGCACCCATCTGCTCTTGAGGTAGCGTGTACCAAAATGCCCAGCTACTTCGGGAGAGTCTTAGAAAGCAAGCTGCAAAAGTGTGAAACTGCTCTAACATATGGCTGATCCAGTTATTTCCCAAACAGACTATTACTTGAAAAGTGTGACAGTAAAATTAAGGCTGTAACAGTGAAAATCTTGTTTGTTTTTGAAGGAAAAGGAGGGAAATCTGTGAGCTAAACTATTTGTGGAGATGGGACAGATTTGAAATCCCAATACCCAATCGTGTATAAGCAAAGTCTGGAAAGGAGTAAGAAAGATCCTGCCTGGTCCTTGCCAGGATTAGATACACTTCTGGTTTCCATTCACTGAATACCAAATCCTTCCCCATCCCCAGCAAGAGGGAAAGCAAGCATCAATGAAAAGAGCCCGCAGAACAGACAGGGACTCTAGGAAGCTGCAGTTGATTACTGATGAAAAAGAAGTATCTGTCAAACTAGAACTAATTCAGTGCTTTCTTTCCTTTTTTTTTAAGCATACAAAAAGCAGTGTTTCACAACCTTTTTTACATAGAAAATGGTATTTATATGATACATTGGGCTAAATGGAAGAGCCTGCTTATGGCTGGAAAACTAGTTAAAATGCTCTGCAATAAAATACCAAAGGTTGCATAAGAATGTTTGAATGTAAGAGTTGCTTAAACAAAAGATGGACACTAACATGGTGGCTACTTCTCCCCAGTGTTAAAAACAACTGCTGCTAAAGCCATCAAGCCCAGCTAGAACAAATGCATCTGCCAGCAGCTGTACCTCTAAATACTCTTCTAGGATAGGTAAGAGACGTTCACCCAAGAACTCTTAACAAACCTGTTTCCTACTCAACCAATTCAAACGAAAATTAGACCCTTCCCTTCTGGAAAGGTGGACTTACCTGTTATACTCAGATAAAGCTTGAGCAATCACAAGCCCCATTCCCTAGAGAGAAAAAAAGATAGCACAGGTGAAATAAGGGGCTGTTGGTGATACTATGACTAGACCACAGAAAACACTAATTACAGCGCCATGGTCCAAGCCCAAGAAGTTCTACCTGAAAGTAGGCAACAAGGACAGAAATTCGGAGAGACATTGTCAAAGGATCAAAAGGAACTTCTTTGGAAAGATTTTTCTGATCTAATTATCTTACTTAAGGGTTCCAGATACAATTAAAATAGAGTAACAAGGGATGAAACAGACCAGCTCAGACCACTGACAATTTCACTGGGATCATTTTCACCTCAAAAGAAGAGTGCGTTAGAATCTTCAAACAAAAAGCTCTCGAATGTCTCTAAAACAACCCATAATAAAAGTGACGAGTCCCACATTAAATGAAGGTGCAGGGACTTCCGTGGTGGCGCAGTGGTTAAGAATCCGCCTGCCAATGTGGGCGACATGGGTTCGAGCCCTGGTCCAAGAAGATCCCACATGTCGCAGAGCAACTAAGCCCATGCGCCACAACTACTGAGCCTGTGCTCTAGAGCCCATGAGCCCCAACTACTGAAGCCCGCAGCACATCTAGAGCCCATGCTCCGCAACAAGACAAGCCACCACAATGAGAAGCCTGCACACCGCAACGAAGAGTAGCCCCAGCTCGCCACAGTTAGAGAAAGGCCGGGCGCAGCAACGAAGACCCAACACAGCCAAAAGTAAAATTAATTAATTAATTTTTTTAAAGAAATGAAGAACCTGTCATCGCTTCCCCAACAGTGATTAAAAAAAAAAAAAAGAATCCGTCTGCCAATGCAGGGGACACGGGTTCGAGCCCTGGTCCCGGAAGATCCCACATGCCGCGGAGCAACTAAGCCCGTGCGCCACAACTACTGAGCCTGTGTTCTGGAGCCCGCAAGCCACAACTACTGAGCCTGCATGCCACAACTACTGAAGCCTGCACGCCTAGAGCCCGTGCTCCACAACAAGAGAAACCACCGCAATGAGAAGCCTGCGCACCACAACGAAGAGCAGCCCCCGCTCACGGCAACTAGAGAAGGCCCGTGCGCAGCAACGAAGACCCAATGCAGCCTACAATAAATAAATAAATAAATTTATTTTTAAAAACAAAGACAAGCTACTCTCAGGCCACAGGAAAACAGGAATGTAATGGGAAGAAGCATCCAATAAATATTAATTTATCAACTTTCCCCCTAGAAACTGCTAAGCGTATCACAAAGATCAATTAAGGCCACAAGGATGAATCATGTGTGCTTTTTTTTCAGAAGAGAAATTAGAAGAATGAAGAGGGCAAGATGGAAAGAGAATAAAGCCAGACACCTGGTCATCTTCTTCCTCCCTATATTCAGAGATCAGATGTTATTTCCCAAACCTCCATGGATATAAGTAGCAGATATATATCATCCTCCATGTTTCAGCTTCACCAAGGCAGGCTATAAATATAATCTGGATGGTTCTACAAGAAGAAATCTCACAACATTGAGTCATCTAAGCCTTCTTTTTTTTTTTTAATTTCAGCTTTATTGAGGTATAATTGACACACAAAATTGTAAGATATTTAAAGTGTACATCATGGTGATTTGATATACCATCTAAATCTTATTCTTGGAAATGTAACTTCTTGACTCTGTAGGATAATCAACCTCAGCACACTACAACATGAAATATAACTGACCATTTCATCATGATTAGCAAGCAAATATCCCCTCACACCTTCCTTCCATGATGAGAAAATAAAAAACAGTAAGACAGTAGCACTGATGCTCTAAAAAGAAATACCTATTCCCTCTTTATAGCCAGATGAAATTAACACAATAGCTCTCTACTCTCTGTTCTAAATATCTACTAAAAGTAAGGCCACCAAAGGCAAGTAATTAAAACAATACACAAGGATCCAGATACTCACATTGAGCGTGGCTTCATCATCCACAATAGACAGCTTCACAATATAAGGATTCACAGACTATTAAACAAGAGAAGAGACTCCAGGTGAGTGTGACCTAGTTAAGAACCCATTAGCTATTTAACAAAGTGTTCACAAAAATGCTTCCATAAGGTGCTCTCTCTAGAGTGATGCTCCTAATACCTATGCCCAACTATCTTGCCAGGTGACTTCCTCCATTTCCAGTAAATCTCTCAGTGTGCATGGGCATTCACCAAGCATGCACAGATACACACACACACACACACACACACACACACACTTCTATTCTACCCACATTTTCCTCTAGACTGAATCAGCTCAGGCCTATGTCTGCCACTTCTCCCATCTTTCCCTCTTATTTGTTTCTAAGAAGTAAGTGAACGCTCCGCAACACTCACTTTGTCCTATCCTGCCAATAATTTACTGAGTCTATAGGGACAGCTGTCTTTTGGGGTGCATAAAAGCTCCCTTGCCATAAGGTACAAATTTATAAGTTGCTAACTTACACTCATCCCAAAGGCTCCCTAACCATTCCACAAACTATATCCAAGGACTGATTCACCCACCCGTAAAACAAAGCCACCTTGGGGGTGGAAAGTGGCAGCTGCTTAACAGCCAGAGAGGCCATTTATAGATCCAATACCCAAGTAACACTGCAGGGGAACTGAAAAAAAAGATGTAATTACCCAAACTACAATCTGGTCAGGACGCTGGGATTTAATGATTGTCCCATCACTTAAAATATTGGAAGATTTCTTGAGTTTTTCCAGATTCAATCTCAGCTGGGCAGCATATGGAAATATATATATATTTAAACTCATTAAGCAACTGGGCCATCTCCTACCAGTGGGATGAGAACCAATGACGTGCTCACCTTGAAAACAACCCCTGCGTAGTATGTGAGGAAAGACCTACTACAGATCAGGCACCAATTCTAACCCACGGGAAGCTAGAAACAATAGTTCTCAGATTGGCAGTTTTTACAGCAACCAAGAAAACATTACTGAGAAGCCTGGAAACCCAACTGAAAGGTTAACCCCCCCCCCCCCCAGCCCCACAGACTTTATGAATCAAGTTTCTGAGGGCATCTTTCGAATGCTAACTGGGAATAGAGAAGGAGAAGCTTTGTTTTTTTAACAGCCCAAATGTTTACAAGGTTTTCTACAATACAATTCAAGGAGGTAAAACTCACTCCATTCGTTACTTGATCTGACAGAGGAAGGCTCTCAATACTTCTTCCTATAACTAACAGTCAAATCCTGCTGACGCTACAGACTTCAGACAACATCCAAAGCAAGTGGATCCTTGGAACTGAAAATCAGCAGTAAGCTGACCCTGAGATGCCATCAAATGAAAACAACAGTAGAAAGAATAGGCCACTGTCTCTTGGCACAATTTTTGAAAAGTCCTAGTTATCACCTTCCCAAAAGTAGACTGTCTTAAGTAATAATAAGGACCATCTGATTACCAAGAACAGCCTATGCATTAGCAACAGTTGAGGAAAAGGCAAGGTGGCTAAAATCAAGGATTTGAGTTCTAGATCCTCGACTTATTGTGACAAGTTAGGCACGTTAATAAACCTAAGCTCCATTTTCTCATCTGTAAAATGGGGAAAAATGTTTTCTTCCTTGGGGTTGCTATGAGACTTAAATCAAGTAAAATCCTTAGCACAGTATCTGGCATATGATAAGGGCTCGATTATTGGTAGCTATTTTTTTTTCCTTTGACATTTTTATCACAGTCAAAGGAAGATCTGTAGGGAAAAAAGAGAGAGAGAAAGAAAAAGAGAAGGAACAACTTACAACCAGACATAATAAACAATTTTGTAATTTCTGGGAAACATCATGTTCAGGGCAGCAGTTGGGGACTGAGTCACTTCATCTCAGAAGACCTGGCCAACCCAGAAGGCCAAGATCTTAATGCTGTGAAAATTTCTATTCTGTCAAACACTGATTTTCCTTAACACTATATACCTGTTGTGGTCATGTTTTAAAACTCAAGGCAATCTACTTTTCATCAGCAAGACAGGATTACACACTCAGTCAGCCTTCACAGAATCACTCTAATAGGGTCCAGCCTTTACTTGATCTAAACCACACTTAACAAATTTCATTGCTCTTCCCTAGACCTTTTTTTTTTTTTGGCCTCCTCTATCTCTTGAGATGAAATTACTAAAATGGAATCCATTATTTGAAGTGAGCAAGAACTACTTCCATTCCTTAAGTCCAACACCTAATCTCTCTTCTCTGTGTTTAGCTGGACACCAAGCCTCTCTGGTGCTCTCTGCACCTTTCTGGAAAGGTTACAACTTACCCCACTGGTCATGGGATCGATTGTGGTGGTAATTAGAATGTTGTTCCCCCTAGCACACCCTCTTGTATTTTGCATAAAACTTCACCAGCTCTTGGTTTTGCTATGTTCATCTGAAATTCCTCATGCTCCTATCAAAAACCTTCCTGCTCCATGGTCACCAGGTTTCCTTAATGGTTTCTGGTGATTGACTTATATCAAAAGCTGCAAAGCCCAGATAAATTATGCCTACCAGCTTGCCCTCGCCTACTGTATTAATTCTTCTGGGGTTTCTGACAGACTAGAGATGCATACCCCACTCAAGAAATATGATTTTCTCCAGTTCCTTGGCCATGTCCAATTTTTCAGGCTGACATTTCAGAAAGTCTTACTGGGCTGAACCAGGGCTCAGTTCACATTTAGAGAAGCCAAGCCATTGCCTCAGAGTGGCCTACATCCAGCAGAATGTTCCAAAAATATTCATTACTGATGATGGCTCTTTCTTTTCACACATAACTCGCTTTAACTACCTTCAGCATTTTTCCTCAGCTATTTTTCCTGCTGTTGTAATAAGGCCCCAGAGGCTATTACACATGACAGAGATCAAAATGGCTACCACGCCTGCCCTTCCAGATCACCAGCAAAACAGGTGTTGGTGATAAATTACTTATTTATTAGTAGCTCTGTACACCATCTGTCAGTTCCTCCAAGACAATGAAAGCAATCAACTCCTGGGATTTATAACACGTTAACATTGCTCCACATATTCCAGTCCCTCTTTAAGTATTCCTTTCTCACAGCCAGCCTTTCTTTCATATCCCTATTTATAAGAATAAGCTCCATATTTTATGTTACCCCATCACTTTTGACCTGGCTAGTAATCATATCAAAAATCACTAAGTGAAGATCCAGAAGCTCAAAAATGAAAACATTCCCTCCAGCTGGCCCATTTCTCATAGTATTGCTACTTATTAAATGAAGAAGGTCAAGTTGCCTCAATGCAGCTCCTGACTTCTGGGTTCAGTGAAGTACTCCTAGTGTCCAGGACCCAGTGCCAAGTGCTCCCTATTCCTACAAAGCAATCCCCAGTGAGGTCCCTGGTCTTCCCTAAGTGGACCCCTTCTTTTTCTGTGTATTCTACCTTTTGAGGGGAATCAAGTAGATGCTCCAATCCAAGTATAAGTCTCTGAGTTCACCTCTTTATCTCAAAACCTATAAATCTATCCCTGACTAATTCAGAGGCAAAAAGAACTCCAGAATTAATATGGATAAGGCTCTGTCTTCAACTCCCATCAAAATCAGAAAGAGCCTCCAAACCAACAGTTGATATTTATACAAGTGGATTGATTGCATTGCAGAAATCCAATATATAAGTCCAATATTTCAAAATAGATGCATTAGGTCAGTGGTTCCCAATCCTAGCTGATCATCACGTTCAAAAGGAGATATTTAAAAAAAAAGAAAGATATCTAGGTCTCACCCCCTAAGAGATTCTGATTTGGTGTGTAAAGAGTAAGGCCCAGGGACTTCCCTGGCGGTCCAGTGGTTAAGACTCTGTGCTTCCACTGCAGGGGGCATGGGTTCGACCCCTGGTCAGGGACCTAAGATCCCACATGCCACACAGCACAGACAAATAAGTAAATAAATAAATAAAATAAAGAGTAAGGCCCAGAAATATCTTCTTTTTAAAAAGTAACTACTGAGGGACTTCCTTGGTGGCGCAGTGGCTGGCTGCCTGCCTGCCAATGCAGGGGACACGAGTTCGATCCCTAGTCCGGGAAGATCCCACATGCTGCGGAGCAACTAAGCGCACAAGCCACGACTACTGAAGCCCGCGAGCCACAACTACTGAAGCCTGCACACCTAGAGCTCATGCTCCACAGCAAGAGAAGCCACCGCAACAAAGAGTAGCCCCTGCACACTGCAACTAGAAAAGCCTGCACGTCACAATGAAGATCCCATGTGCCGCAACTAAGACATGACGCAGCCAAATAAATAAATAAATATTTTTAAAAAGATAACTAGGTGATTCTAATGATAAGCTGGGTTTGGGAACCATTACATTAAGAGAGATTTACTCACTTTTTTAGAAGTTACACCACAGGATTCCTTTAAACAGCTATATCCTCTACCGCAGGCATCTAACATAGGACTTCTAGAATTGGTTTATCAAAATTAATCTATAAACCATTTGCCAAGAACATGTCTTCTACATTAAGCAAAATCCTCTAGGAGTGGCCACATTTAGGAAGATTGTAGAAAGGTAACAGCTCTCCATTAAGGGACCCACTTACCTCATATTTTCTGTAGTTCACCAGCAAAGCCAAGAGGACTACGGCATCATACCCATGTTCCCTACGACTTGGCGGGTGGGAGAGTATCTGTAACCAGAACCAAAAATGGTGAGAGTGCTTGAGGAGGTGGTTTACCCAAAAAAGAAAGAGGTGACAAGGGAACTGACCTACCTGTAAAATTGCTTCAAATATGCTGTTGATCATTACATACTCCAGGATAGTGTTCTGGCTGATGTTATCTGTCACCTGAATATAATAAAAGGCTATTTAAAGTCTATACTAAGACACTCTGATATCTCATGTATATCTCCTCACCTAGTATCTAAGAGAAACAGAAATGTTAAAACATTCTACTAGATACTTAGCAGATCTTAAAGCACTCCCAAAGCCACCTGAGCCTGAATAGACAAGACACTAGAAGGGTAAGAAATTAGCGAATTAAAACTTCCTAAATCTTTGAACTTCTCATTGTTTCTCTCATACCCTCACAAAAGCATTTGCCTAACAGTTTCTTGGGTTTCATTCCCCAGATGCACAGGAAGAACTTTATGATCCAGAAGTCTTCAAGCAGTGGCAGGGAAAGGAAACCACCTGAAGTAAATGAATAACACCCTACCCTCCTCCCACTAGAAGGTACAGGCCAGCTTCCAGCTATAAAATCAAAGTCAGAACAAATAAAAATATTCAGAATCACAAAAACTGTTTCCAAATGAGACCTGATGAAGGGCAAAATCTAACAATCCAGACTGGTACAGGTTAAAAATGTCAGCAGTTGCTCCAAAGAGCAACTTCTAGGAAGCGAAAGCCCATACAAATAACTTCCTTCTACACAAACACAACAGAGTGATGTAATGGCCCAGTAGAGATTTTTTTTCTCTTTTCCTTTCTAACTTTGGGCTCAAGAATTCAAATTTGCCCCTGCTGTCAATTTACACCCTTGACAAAGAAACATATAGGTAAGTTACTTACAGTCACTAAGCAGAGGAGAAGTTTCAGACATAAGCTCTTCAGACTTTCAGAACCTTCTGCACAAAGCAATGAATCCAAACTCTCCATCAAGTTCTGAGAAAGAGAACCATTAAGTATTAAACCATATCAAAGAACATCTCCACCATGTCTTTGTCAAACTCTGGGTTATGTTATGTAGGGTAATGTAATAAAATAAAATGAAGCAACCATATCATTCCCTTAGGCCTAGGCCTTGCAAGACTAGACATAAAAAAGGAAGACTTCTAACTAAGTCTAGCTATTTTGGGAAAAATGCCTTAGAACAACCGCACAGAAAAATAAAGAATTTACTATTCCAGCAAATGAATGTTTGCAGCCTATCACCCTCATATAAACCTTCAGATTAGAATGAAATTTTTTAAAAGATTAATAACAGTTAAATAATATACAAATTAAAAACAATAAATAATAAACTAAATAAAATTAAATTCTATTAAATAAATTTTAAATAATAAATTAAACAAATGATTAAGTTAAAGGTTAATAATAATGGTTAAACAGCTAGGTATGTTTCATTATTTGATAAGAAAGCATATCACTTGATGCAGGCACACTGAACAAACAACAAAGAGATAACATCACTACTAGCTGTTCACTGGCCATATGCACTATCCAACAAAGCTAGCTCATATCCATCCTGGTCGCTTCTACTAGACAATGTGATTAGAGTTTAACACTTGTACTAACAACCAACTGTTTTATCCAATGTAGTCAAAAGATGAAACCTTTAGATACTACAAGGAAGAAAAAAAGAAATATTTTACATTAAATAAAGGAGGAAAATGAACGGAGAATAAGGAATTAGCAGGACATCCCTGGTGGTTCAGTGGTAAAGAATCCACCTTACAATGCAGGGGACGCTGGTTTGATCCCTGGTCAGGGAACTAATATCCCACGTGCCATGGGCAACTAAGCCTGCACGCCACAACTACTGAGCTCTCGCACCTCAGTGAGAGAGCCCACGTGCCGCAAACTACAGAGCCCACGCGCTCTGGAGCCTGCGCGCCACAACTAGAGAGAGAAAACCCGCAGGCCACAACTAGAGAGAAGCCTGTGCACCGCAATGAAAGATCCCACATGCTTCAATGAAGATCCCGTATGCTGCAACTAAGACCCAACACAGCCAAAAATAAATTAAATAAATAAATAAATAATAAATAAATCTTAAAAAAAAAAGGATTTAGTGTGCTGGAAGGTCAAGTGAAGGTTCAAAATAAGCTACTTCAGGTCAATTCAACAAATATGTAGTAAGAGTCTACTATACGCTAAATATTGTGCTTTCAAAGAAAATAAGAAAAAAATAAGACAATGACCCTTGCTCTCAAAGTGTTTTTAGTCTAACAGGAGAGAAAAACAAATAAACAGTTTAATGGTTACTATGACAGTAATATATATGGAGGAAGGGAATTAGCTCAGAAGTTACCTATTCCAGGACTCCTCAGGGACAGGCTGTATTTTGAAAAATCAGTAGGAATTAATTAAAACTTGAGGAGGAAAGGAATTCTAGACAGGCATTAGCATGATCAAAGACACATGAAGAATGAAATGGCCCTGGACATGCAGTTGGAATACAGGCAGTTTATTATTATAGAAGTATAAAGAGTGAGGCACAGTGATGAGAGATGCGATTTGAGAAATAAATAGAAAGAAGATCATAAAAGTTTTATACAGCTAATGAGGGAGTTTGGTCTTTATCCTTTTAGTGATAGGAAACTAATGAAGGGTTTTAAGCAAGAAAGATTTGAGTGTTAAGTTACATCACTCTGCTGTCAGCGTGGATGACAGATTTAAAGATGGTAAGCCTGGAGAGAGGGAGACAAAAGAAGACTAACCTATCAATTTTCTGAGGATGGTTGCCATGTCTTATTTGCCTCTGTATCCCCGATGTCTGGCACAGAGGAGCATAACAAATGTTTGTCAAAAGAATGAAGGCATCACTGCAATAGTTCAGGGATAATGGGGACTTTGGCAGTAGAGGAAAAAAAGAAAAAAACAGATATGAGAAGTATGAGCTGAGGTAAAATTAGCTGAACATGGTGATAGTCTGGATATGAAAGATGAGGGATAGGAAAGAGTCAAGGGTGACTCTCAGGTCTTTGGCTTGGGGAACTGGGAAGACAGGTATCCCCATTCTGACACAGAATGAATGAGGAAGAACAGAAGTATAGAAAACAATGAGTTCCATTTTGGATATGCCAAACAAGAGGTTTGGATATGCCAAACAAGAGGTTTGGATATGCCAAACAAGTGGGTATATTCAGCAAGTGCTTAAAGAGAACAGGTCTGAGACTCAGGAGGAATTAAGGCTAAAGATAGAGACTTAGTAATCAGCAGTATATAGACAGTAGTGAAAACTGTAAGAATGAAAAAGTTATTAGGGATTTTACTATATATATATATATATATATAGACTGTAAAAGGTTAGAATTAAAAACTAACTCCAGGGCTTCCCTGGTGGCACAATGGTTGAGAATCTGCCTGCTAATGCAAGGGACACGGGTTCGAGCCCTGGTTTGGGAGGATCTCACATGCTGCGGAGCAACTAGGCCTGTGAGCCACAACTACTGAGCCTGCGCATCTGGAGCCTGTGCTCCGCAACAAGAGAGGCCGTGATAGTGAGAGGCCCGTGCACCACGATGAAGACTGGCCCCCGCTTGCCACAACTAGAGAAAGCCCTCGCACAGAAACGAAGACCCAACACAGCAAAAATAAATTAATAAAATTAATAAACTCCTACCCCCAACATCTTTAAAAAAAAAAAAAAAGAACTGACTCCAGGTACTAAATCTTTGTGTATTCCTAATTGCATATTCGTAACGTTTTTATTTTAATAAATTTATTTATTTATTTATTTGTGGCTGCGTTGGGTCTTCATCGCTGCACATGGGCTTTCTCTAGTTGCAGTGAGTGGGGGCTACTCTTCATTGCAGTGCACGGGCTTCTCATTGCAGTGGCTTCTCTTGTTGTGGAGCACAAGCTCTAGGCATGCGGGCTTCAGTAGTTGTGGCTCACGGGCTCTCGAGCGCAGGCTCAGTAGTTGTGGTGCACAGGCTTAGCTGCTCCGCGGCATGTGGGATCTTCCTGGACCAGGGACCGAACCCGTGTCCCCTGCATTGGCAGGCAGATTCTTAACCACTGCACCACCAGGGAAGTCCCACATATTTGTAACTTTCAAAAAATAAACTAATCACTATAAGGATTCTTTGGCATACAGATTTCTTTATTTTAAATGTAGTGAATGAGAGAAGACAGGTTCTTCAAAGTTCATATTATGAACAACATTCGTTCAAGATAGTGACAAATACTGCAAATCAGATATTTGATAAGGGACTTGTATCCAAAATATATAAAGAACTCTTACAACTCAACAATAAAAAGACAAATAATTCAATCTACAAACAGGCAAAGGATTTGAATAGACATTTCATACACACACACACACACACACACACACACACACACACACATACACATACACACATTGCTGGGGAAAATGTAAAATGGTACTGCCACTTTGGAAAACAGTTTGGAATTTCCTCAAAATGTAAACATAGAATTACCATATGAGGGACTTCCCTGGTGGTGCAGTGGTTCAGAATCCGCCCACCAATGCAGGGGAGACGGGTTCAAGCCCTACTCCAGGAAGATCCCACATGCCGCGGAGCAACTAAGCCCATGTGCCACAACTACTGAGCCTGTGCTCTAGAGCCCAGGAGCCACAACTACTGAGCCAGTGCTCTGGAGCCCGCAAGTCACAACTAGTGAAGCCCGTGTGCCCTACAGCCCACACGCTGCAACTACTGAGCCCATGAGCTGCAACTACTGAGCCCGTGTGCTGCAACTACTGAAGCCTGCATGCCTAGAACCCAAGCTCCACAACAAGAGAAGCCACCACAATGAGAAGCCCGCGCGCCGCATCAGAGTAGCCCCCGCTGGCCGCAACTAGAGAAAGCCAGCGCACAGCAACAAAAACCCAATGCAGCCAAAAATAAATTAAAAAGAATAAAAATTCAATCATCTATGTCTGAGTCCAAATCTTCTAGTGCATCTAACTGTCTGCAGATGATCCATGAACAGCTGTCAGAAGCAGACATCCACAGGCACATCTACAGCTTATGTCTCACCTTCATGCACAGCTCCGCCTTGTCAAAGCCCATCAGCATGTTGATAATGTCAAACCCAGAGGTAGACTTATTTTTTTGATGGACTCCTCGAATGAGTGCACACAAGGTCTGCAGAGATGAGAGAAAGAATTCTTTCTAGAAAGGAAGTCTCAAAATGCAAAGGGCATTGGATCAGTAGCTTCACACTGCAACCTCAGAACCTTCTCCTTACACAGCTGACATTCAACTGCTCTATTCTCTGAGCTCCAAAACACAGTCTGGGTCTTAATATGTGCAAAATCCAGAAATGAAAAGAGGAACAGCAACTGAAACTGTTGTCATCCTCTTTTTTTTATTTTCTGGCCATCCACTTTTTAAAAATTACACTGCAAAGACTGGAAGGTGATATTCAAAAATAAGAAACAGGGGGCTTCCCTGGTGGCGCAGTGGTTGCGAGTCCGCCTGCCGATGCAGGGGACACGGGTTTGTGCCCCGGTCCGGGAAGATCCCACGTGCCGCGGAATGGCTGGGCCCGTGAGCCATGGCCGCTGAGCCTGCATGTCCGGAGCCTGTGCTCCGCAACGGAAGAAGCCACAGCAGTGAGAGGCCCGCATACCGCAAAAAAATAAAAATAAAAATAAAAAACAGTTCTTGAGTTTGAATCATGGGATTGGTGGAGCTTTCCTTTATTTAACATTAGTTTTAGAATTTACATAATAGTTTACCATTTTTAATAACTATAGAGGTCCCTATATGATAACAACCAATCAATTCAAATCTTAAAAATTCATTACAATCCCCATCCACTACTTACTAGCTGTGTGAGCCTGGACAAATTAGTTAACTTTTCAGTGCCTCATTTTTCTCAGCTATAAAATGGGAATGATAATAGCATTAACCTCATAGGGATGTTGTGATGGCTATGTGAATTAATACTGTAAGGCACTTAGAATACTCCCTGGAACTTTGTTAAAGTTCCTGGAATAATGCCTGGAACTTAACTTTGTTACAGCTCAATAAATATCAGGTATTATAATAAATGTACTATATTTTTATGGGTCACCAAGTGGCTTAATGTCAATTTATTTTCACTGGACTAAAATCAGTTTATAATTCATGCCCCCACAGTAAGCCACTATAATTACAGGAAGTACAATTTCCAACTTTCATTTCAACTTTCAATTAATGAGTCACTACAACTGTGATGCTCGAAATGTAGAATTTACTGTCCAAGGGTTAACAAAGCTACAGGATAAACATGGTCCTTCTCTCTGGGGCATCAACTCAAGAGGTAATTTCTACATTTTACAGATGAGAAAACTGGGGCTCACAAAGTGATCTGCCCAACTTGTAAGTTAGAAACTTAAACCCAATCTACCAAAAGTTCCAACAAAATCCTTTATGCTGTCATCAGTTCTTCATATTCTAAGCTTGTCAATCACTACCCTAAATACTCAGCCTAATCTAGGCTACACTGGAGCTACTAGGCTATAAACTCTAGAAATTTTGCCCATCATTCATTCAAAAAAATTTACTTCTAGAATGTTATTTGCCAGGCACTGTTCTACACACTAGGAACAAAGTATTGAATAATACTGTCTTTGCCCTCAAGAAGCCTATAATGTATCCCACCAGCTCAATGCTTAGCACATAACAGTAATTCAAGAAATAATGAATGTAGTTCAAGAATAATGAATATTCCTCACGATCATGCCACTTAGCATTAAGAATAGTGATTCTTAGGGCTTCCCTGGTGGCGCAGTGGTTGAGAGTCCGCCTGCCGATGCAGGGGACACGGGTTCGTGCCCCGGTCCGGGAAGACCCCACATGCTGCGGAGCGGCTAGGCCCATGAGCCATGGCCGCGGAGGCTGTGCGTCCGGAGCCTGCGCTCCGCAACGGGAGAGGCCACAACGGTGAGAGGCCCGCGTACCGCAAAAAAAAAAAAAAAAAGAAGAATGATTCTTAATGTTTTTAGAGTTACAGACCTTTTTGAGAATCTGACAAAAGCCCTCTCTCCAAAAAAAATGTGCATATACACATAACGTACATTTACACATAAAATATTACATGTAACTTCAGGGAGTCAAGGACCTTCTGAAACCTCACGTTAATAAAATACTGTTTATTTAATTAAGAAAGTCTTCTGATTTTTGCTGTAGACTAATCAACCTTGCCAGAGTTTCCTCTCTCTCTCTTCCTGTCCTCAAGTAATAATAAAAATTCTGTCAAACAATCCTCCTTGGCATTAGATCAAATTATACAAATGGACAAGATAACTACTATAGGCGTCAATTTGTTTAACCAGGAAGATGGCTAAACAAACATGGCATAGATGTTTGATTACTTAAAGAAATAAAGAAAAAACAAAGAAAGCAAGCCTCAAACCTAAGGGCAATTTTAGGTTCCTCAAGTTCCAATAGATGTATTACAATTTCTTTCTCCTATTAAACAAGACTTCCCCAGTCTCCCAGCCTTGTACCTGCAATGCATTGACCACTCGAATTGGATGCTCCTCTCCCAGAGCCTGGATGCAGTGCTGAAATAAGCAATTAATATTTTCCTTGATCTTCATTAACTCCTCACCGTCAAGAGATTCCAGCTTGCCTTCTAGGTACTCTAAATTCACCTAACGAGGAAACAATAAGGGCCTGAGTGCATTTTTACTGCAGCACCTAGAACACATGTGAAGGCAATCTCAGTTACCAGGAAAATCCACAGGTGCCACCAAGTCTTACCTTCATAAGGAAGAGCTCCTCCCAAAATCGAGGACTGCACTTACTAGGGTCCTCTGTCTGAAACCGGAAGATAAGTATATTCAATATCCCCAGCTAACACCAAAGCATTAAGAACACATTTGAAAGGGTCACTACACATAATCAACCTTACCTTTCACAATTAAATTTGAAAATGCTTGGTCATTCCAAACAGCTATAATGGGGAACAAGTTTTTTGGGTTCTTTTCCCAAATGGAAGACATTGTGCATGGATATATATTCCCTGCACCAAAAGTTAAATGGCTCAAAGAACCTCCCTCAAATCTTTCTCTTCTTAGCAAGAAAAGAACCTAGCCATCTGAGTCAGTTAGTCATATTATGATATATCCCCATTGTATTTGTATGGTACTCAGTTTTCAAAGCCGATTCACATACATGAAATACAATGGCCCAGTGAGCCAGGCAGGGTAGATATTATCATTATCCTCCTTTTAGGAAATAGAGTCCACAAGACTTACACAAGTGCAGGACCCAGAACCCAGATCATCTAAGTAATACTGCCATGATTTTTACTACATCCTGCTTCTACTTGCCCTCCCGTATGCATTTAGTCCTCTGTACAGAGCCTGTAATATTCTCTTTTCTTACTTCAAATTGGTCCATAATTAGCAAAATTATGGTGCTAAAATCCAAATTTTCTTAGCAATAATTTTCAAACAGAAATTCTAGGAAGTTAGAGGCTTCTGGTTAGTGAGTGAAATAAGAAAAAGAGAACCCTTACTTCACAGGAAAGCTAATGACATAAAACCAGTATGTCAATTGCCTGCTATCACCTTACCTTAAATTGACCTTTTAAAATTACTACCAAGAACTAATGTCTTCATTAGATAAGAACTTCTGATCAAATAAGAAGATATTATCCTAGGAATCTCCTCTGGCTTTTTAATTGAGAATGACATAAAGAAGCAACATTTCTGGCCTTCTAATAAGGTTCTCATTTAGTGAATTCTTTCTATCCCTTTCTCTCAAGTCCTGCTCCCCAAGAGGGGCCACACATTGACCCTCACACTTCTGTAATATCATTTTGTTGTTTATATATGAAACAGGGAATTCATGGAGCTGGCATTTCCCATGCTCAAAGCTCTCTCAAGCAGGAGTCATATGTATACCAAGCTTATTACTTAACATAGAAAGAGCCCTAATAGGATCCTAATAACCACTCATTTTCTCTGTATAGCCACCTATACTGCCCTGGGCAATTCTGTATTAACTGTCTGCATGTCAAACTTTGTCTCTAAGGCTTGCCAAGAATTAGATGTTTTACTTGATCAAGTTATTTATCCAAGGCCATGTGGCAAAGTTGAACAAGTAAGGACTCTGGAGTCAGACACTAGGGTTCAAATCACAGCTCCTTCACTTTCTAGCTGTGACTGCCAGTTTTCTCATTATCATGCTCTTTTACATGGCACATGTAAAAACATAGCCTTCTTGCAGCATTCTTGTCAGAATTAGAGCTAATGTGTTTGGTGATGCATTTAGAACAATGTCAGGCACATAGTAGGAACTCAAGAATCTCCCTCAAATTTTTCTCTTCTTAGCGAGAAGTGAACCTAGCCATCTGAATCAATTAGTCATATTATGATGCATCCCCATTGTATTTGTATGTTGCTCAGTTGTCAAAGCCCATTCACATACATGAAATACAACGGCCCAGTGAGCCAGGTAGGGTAAATATTATCATTATCCTCCTTCTAGGAAAGAGAGTCCACAAGATTTACACAAGATATGGTTAACTCCTTTTACAAGTATTACATGTTTTAAATGTTTACATGTACTACTAATGACTAGGATTTCAGAAGTCAAGTACATCTGCAGGGTATCTAATCACTCTAACCTTCCCTGATAGGGTACATTTTACAACACAGGCTTGGACCATGGTCAATAAGCAGTTCTGAAGACCCAAAGAAATCCCCTAATCTAATTGCTAATAATTCCTCAGTCTTCTCATAGAATTGGAAGATGAGATAGTCTAACTAAGCAATTGTTCTGTCCACTAACAACTTGAGATGGAATATAATAGCGCATCTTTTTAAAATATCTGAATTAGATAGAATTCTAGAGCCAAAAGGAAATTCAAGGGACATCTAGGATAGAAAGGTCCTTATGTCAAATCATAAGGGGACTTCCCTGACGGGCCGGTGGTTAAGACTCCACGTTTCAACTGCAGGGGGCACAGGTTCAATCCTTGGCCAGGGAACTAAGATCCCACATGCCACGAGGCACAGCCAAAAAAAAAAAAAAAAAAATCATAAGGAAGAAAAGTCTTATAGATATCAGAAAAGAAGTTTCCTGAGCCTTCCTCCCTCCTTTCAATTGTTTTACCCAGCTCAAGGCAACAGTCTATAAGAACAACATAATAACAATCTATATTAATTAACACATGATCATAATTTCTACCATGAGAGAGCTCACCCTCACCCTTGTTCTCTCTCTTTCTCCCTCTGAAGAACTAGAAGGTAGCAGGCAGAGGTGAGGTTATTTCTCATTTTGGAACAAGAAACTAAGGAGTCAACCTGTGCCCAATGTCAGGGCTCCAGGCCTTACCATGAAGATCTCATCATACATCAGCACCACTTTTTCCTTCAGTGGTTTTTTGTAGGCTGAAGATTTCCTGAGCAAACCCCCTCGTTTCTCTACCTGTGCCATGGTTAGAGAATCTGTGAAAAGAAAGCCACAGTTAGTGCTAGAAATGCTCTCTAAGATGTTGGAGAATCTACTGAAATACCTTTCAATGGGAAATTTTTTAGGAAGAAGAAATGATAAACAACCATGCTATAGATTTTGTGCATCTGTCCAACGCCCCCTTCTCTAACTAGGTAATTTCAAGGTTTAAATCATTACTTGGCTTACAGCACAACACATTTTACATCCTTAAAACATGCCAGTGGACAAGACTTAAAGAAGAAGCAAAACCAAGCAGGAAAGTGTAACTAGCTCCATCTGTAAGAAGTCTGGCCATATATCTGACGCTGATGGAAGGAAGGCTGCAAAGCACACGCTGCCCACAGACTGATGACGAAGTTAAATTTCAAGTATTGATCGAGCTTAGAACCATTAAGACAGGAAGTATGCTGCAGACTGACGTGCTCCATTGATTTCCCCAAAGTAAGCAGGTCCTCCTCACTGCAAAGTACTTGCCCTTCACTGCCTCATAAATCACACTGCACTTGACCATCTTCAGAAATTCCTCTGGAAAGAGACCCAAGGCAGAAAACAGCAGTTAAAAGACCAAAAGTTAAATTTAATTTCAAAATAACCAAAAATAACAATATATTCCTTTCAAGTTTCTCTTTTTAATATTTATTATTTGGCTCCACTGCGTGTTAGTTGCAGCACACGGATCTTCATTGCAGCATGCAGGCTCTTTTAGTTGTGGCATGCATGCGGGATCTAGTTCCCTGACCAGGGATGGAACCCGGGCCCCTTGCATTGGGAGCTCACAGTCTAAACCACTGGACCACCAGGGAAGTCCCTCACATTTAATTATACATATATTTGTAACACTGTACTGCAGATCAAACTTCAGAGTATTTTTTTTAATTCTATATAAAAGCAGTTCCATGAATTATGCTCAAATTTTCCCATCTTGCTTCAAGGAATTCTCAATTTTTTTCAAATGAGAACTTGAAACCCCACAGGTCTCCATGTGAATTTACACATATTCTCTCACTTCCCAGATTCTTTCTATTGTTGACAAAATTCCTCTCTTTCTCTTAAATCCTAGGCTCTAGTTGTGAAACTTAATCTCACCCAGTAGCAAGTATGGATGGTAGTGAGGAGACTGATTTCACTTCCAGACAAATCCAACACAGCAAAAAATTAATTTTGTTCAATGATGTTTGGAAAATATATACTACCTTGCAAATCAAAATTTTGTTTAAGGAAGAGATGCATCCAATAGCATAAAAGACTGTATCTCAAACATCATCTATCTCTAATACATATAGCCAAAAAGGAGATTCACTTTTGAGCACTAAAAGCACAGAAAATTTCAACTGGATGTTAAGCATCCTTAGCACAGGGACTATATCTTACACTTTTTCCATAAGCACTTGGCTCATGGTAAATGCTCAGAGTATGCTTATCACTGACTGACTCTAAATGGTGGAGACCTGAGAAGTCCTAAAATTTTAGTTAGATCTGTCTCTATCAAAGCCTCACTAAGCCCTCAAATTCCTTTACGATCCAGAGAAAACTGAAGGAAAAAATAACAACAAAAAAAGAGAAGATTCTTTCAGGCAATTTATACTATATTGATCATGGCTTTGCCTTAAAGCATGAAATACAGCCTCCATTCAAAACATTCTTGTGTCTTTTAAATAGGTTGTCAAGAGGAAGATGTCCTTATCGGGGGAAAATAAATTGGAAATCAAGAGGATCCTATTAAAATAAATCAAAAGCAATGCAATTCTAAGCTTAGTGGATACAGACCTTTCATGTGCTCAGCTTCAACCAGTTGATTAACAAGAACAGTTGGGAACCACAAGTCCCTGGATGTCAAAAGCACATGTTTACAAACATCTCCCTCTGAGGATTTATAATTAAGTTACTGCTAATCAATGTCCAGCCCAAATCTAATAAACTCACTTTCTCTATTTCAGAATCAATACTTTCTAATAAGCAAAAGGGAATAGGAGAGGCGGGAAAAACAATTTCAACCAAAAGTACCAAATTTCCTAAGAAATTAAATTGTTTTCATCACTCTCCTTCCATTTGGAACAGGGGAAAATTCAACCAAGGGCCTCAACACATTACTCTCTGTCATCATCACAGGCACCTGGAATTTACCACCCAAGCTGTCTGAAGTGTGACTGGAAACTGACAACATAAAGTCTCCTCCTTCTGCCAGCACTTCTACCCATTGAGCACAGCAAAGAAGGGTGTTTCTAGGGTAATAGATTGGAAGAAGTGTAGAACTCTTACAAAAGTCTTTCTGGGGTCTCAGAAATTAAGCTTGTGCTATCAAATTTGAAAGTAAAATATCTGACTGGTAAAGCAGTAAACTGGAATACATCAGTAATGTGAGTGTAATCTGTTTATATCCTCCCAGTGTTTCTTTCCTCTTTCACAATCCTCCCCTGCTGTAGAGAGAATGAGTACCAGCTGAGCAGCAAGACATAATGGAACAAACAACTGGCAGAACTGAGACTAGAACACAGCTCTCCCAACCAACTAGATGACACTGAGTAAATCATTGTGCTTCTCAGTTTCCTTACAAGTAAAACTAGGGGACTGGACTAGACATATCATCTAATGATTCTCTTAGCATCCCTGAAATACCACAAACACATAGGGAACACCTAAATATTATAAAGCACTAGTTTAGGCACTAAGGTGTTACAAAGAGGAAACTACAGACCGGATCCTCTAGGAGCTCACAATCTATTAGCGGAGACAGGCACAGAATAACCCACAGCACAAGGCAAATCATGAGAAATAGAGTAAAAGTACAAAGAAAATGCTATGGGACTACAAGGAAGAGAAAGAAGCATTCTATGAGTACGCTATGACCTCTGTTGATCTAGGCTTTTAAATCCTTCTAGCGAAGAAGTAAACACAGCAAAGCCACAGCAATCCCACAGAAATGTCATCTTAGACATTAACACAGTTTCTCAGAAATAAGACATACAGTAGACAAAGTATAAAAAAGAATTAGGCAACTTTTCAATACTACTTTCACCTACCACCAAACTTAGGAATGGCTTCAAATCCCCCAAACTCAATGGTAAATCAATGAAGTCTTTCATTCCTAAACCTCAGGGACTGCTGGTCCCATGACCTGCAGCACAACTTCTCTCTGAAAGACCAAAGTCATACGACTTTTTAAGAACTATATCTTAAAGCAATCCAGCCACACAGTTCTTAAATGCACATCAGTTCACATCCCTACAGGATAAAATAATCAAATATCAAAAACCTAAAGCCAAACACTTCCAATGTCTTACAAGCAAGGAATGCTAGTTACACTTAACTAATTATTCATTTATTTTACTGTCTTCTTGAGCACAATACATGCCAACTCTAGTATCAGAAAATTAATCTAATAGAAATTCACTCTGATTTCCAGAGTTACCAGTTAATCTATCAAAAGTCTTGGTATTGTATCTATGTGAGATGATGGAGGTTAACTAAATCTGTTGAGGTAATCATTTCCCCAAATATATAAATCAAACCATTATGCTGTATACCTTAAATATATACAGTAATGTCTGTCAATTATTTCTCAATAAAACTGGAAAAAAATCTAAAAAAAAGTCTTTGGTTTTAGTCCCAATTCTTATACACTTATTCTATAACCTTAAGTTTCCTTTCCCTTCCTGGCTTGAATTTGCCAATCTGTAAAAAGAAGCCATGCCAAGGATGTGCAGAAAAGGGAACCCTTGTACGAATGTAAATTGGTACAGCCACTATGGAAAACAGTATGGAGGTTCCCCAAATATTAAAAATAAAACTACCAGGGCTTCCCTGGTGGCACAGTGGTTAAGAATCCACCTGCCAATGCAGGGGACAGGCACTTGAGCCCTGGTCTGGGAAGATCCCACATGCCATGGAGCAACTAAGCCCGTGCACCACAACTACTGAGCCTGCGCTCTAGAGCCCACGAGCCACAACTACTGAGCCCACGTGCCACAACTACTGAAGCTCCGTGCACCTAGGGCCCATGCTCTGCAACAAGAGAAGCCACCACAATGAGAAGCCCGTGCACCCCAACGAAGAGTAGCCCCCGCTCGCCGCAACTAGAGAAAGCTCACACGCAGCAACAAAGACCCAATGCAGCTAAAAATAAATAAGTAAATAAATTTTTAAAAATGAAAAACAGAAAAATAAAACTACCATATGATCCAGCAATCCCACTTCTGCATATATATCCGAAGAAATTAAAATCACTATCTTGAAGAGATGTACCCTCATGTTCACTGCAGCATTATTCACAATCATCAAAACATGGAAATAACCTAAGTGCCCATCAATGGACAAATGGATAAAGAAAATGTGATATATACATACAATGGAATATTATTCAGCCATAAAAAGAAGGAAATCCTGCCATTTGCAACAACACAGGTGAATCTTGAGGGCATTATGCTAATGAAATAAGTCAGAGAAAGACAAATATTGTATGATCTCAATTATACGTGGAATCTGGGGCTTCCCTGGTGGCGCAGTGGTTAAGAATCCGCCTGCCAGTGCAGGGGACATGGGTTTGAACCCTGGTCCAGGAAGATCCCACATGCTGCAGAGCAACTAAGCCCATGCACCACAACTACTGAGCCTGCGCTCTAGAACCTGCAAGCCACAACTACTAAGCCCGCGTGCCACAACTACTGAAGCCCGTGAGCCTAGAGCCCATGCTCTGCAACAAGAGAAGCCACTGCAATGAGAAGCCCGTGCACTGCAATGAAGAGTAGCCCCCCGCTCACCACAACTAGAGAAAGCCTGTGCACAGCAACGAAGACCCAATGCAGCCAAAAATAAATAAGTAAAATAAATTTATTGGAAAAAAAATTATATGTGGAATCTAAAAAAAGTCAAACACATAGAAATGGAGTAGATTAGATTGGTGGTTGCCAGGGGATGGGGGATGGGGCAAATGGAGAGATGTTGGTCAAAGGGTACAAACTTCCAGTTATAAGATGAATAAGTTCTGGGGATCTAA